AATATCTTCCCCATAGAATCCTTCAATATTGCAACTCGAGGCTTGAATTTTTCTTCAGTTCTTTCAGCTTGAGAAATTCAGAGCATGTTCTTCCCTTTTGGTTTTCTAACTCCAGGTCTTTGCACATGTACCTATGATACTTTGTCTTCTCGAGCTGCTCTTTGAAATCTTCAGTTCTTTTAGTTCATCGTTTCTTCCTTTTGCTTTAGCTACTCGACATTCAAGAGCAAATTTCAGAGTCTCTTCTGACATCCATTTTGGTCTTTTCTTTCTTTCCTGTTTTTTAAATGACCTCTTGCTTCTTCATGTGTGATGTCCTTGATGTCATTCCACAACTCATCTGGTCTTCGGTCATTAGTGTTCAACGCATCAAATCTATTCTTCAGATGGTCTCTAAATTCAGGTGGGATATACTCAAGGTTGTTCTTTGGCTCCAGTGGACTAGATCTAATTTTCTGCATTTTCAGCTTGAACTTGCATAAGGGCAATTGATGGTCTGTTCTGCAGTTGGCCCGTTGCCACCTTCTGACTGATGACATTGAGCTTTTCCATCATTTCTTTCCACAGATGTAGTTGATTTGAATCCTGTGTATTCCATCTGACGAGGTCGACATGTATAGTCACTGTTTATGTTGGTGAAAAAAGGTATTTGCAATAAAGAAGTCGTTGGTCTTGCAAATTCTATCATGCAATCTCCGGAATTGTTTCTATCACCAAGGCCATACTTTCCAACTTCCGATCCTTCTTTGTTTCCAACTTTCACATTCCAGTCACCAGTAATTATCAATGCATCCTGATTGCATGTTTAATCAGTTTCAGACTGCAGAAGTTGGTCTTCAATATCTTCATCTCTGTCCTTAGTGGTTAGTGGTTAAATCTGAATAATAGTCATATTAACTGGTCTTCCTAGTAGGCATATGGATATTATCCTATCACTGACAGCGTTGTCCTTCAGGATAGATCTTGGAATGTTCTTTTTGACGATGATGCAATGCCATTCCTCTTCAAGTTGTCATTCCCGGCATAGTAGACCATGTGATTGTCTATGATTCAAAATGACCAATACCAGTCCATTTCAGCTCACTAATGCCTAGGATATCAATGTTTATGTGTTCCATTTCGACAGTTTCCAATTTTTGTAGATTTATATTTAATACATTCCTATTATTAACGGATGTTTGCAGCTGTTTCTTTTCATTTTGAGTCGTGCCACATCAGCAAATGAAGGTCCTGAAAGCTTGACTCCATCCACGTCATTAAGGTCGACTCTGCTTTGAGGAGGCAGCTCTTCCCCTGTCGTCTTTTGAGTGCCTTTCAACCTGAGGGGCTCATCTTCTGTCATTATATCAGACAGTGTTCCACTGCTATTCATAAGGTTTTCACTGGCTAGTTTTGTTCAGAAGTAGACCGCCAGGTCCATCTTCCTAGTCTGTCTTAGTCTGGAAGCTCTGCTGAAACCTGTCCACTGTGGCTGATCCTGCTGGTGTTTGAATAACAATGGCATAGCTTCCGACATCACAGCAACATGTGAGCCCCCACAGTGCAACAAACCAACAGATAAAAACTTTAGAGTAGGACAAATCTGAGTTTGAAATGAGTGGACACCAAATTTCTCTGAGTCTGTTTTTTCATATGTAGTATAGGAATAAACATCTTCTTATACAAGAGTGTTGTAAGATTTAAATGAGAAAATGTTTCTCGAAGTGCCTGGAACATACAAAGTATAAGCAGTAGCCATTAGATTATTTTTACTTTACCTGGCTCGTCTCATTCCTCTGCATGTGAGTTTCAGGACATATAAATAGAACTGTACGTTATATACACCAGGCACATGCCACCTCACAGCCTTTGCACTGACCTGGAATACTTTTCCCCAGATGTCTGCTTCCTTAAGTCTTCACTCAAATTCAGCTTCTCAATGAGACTTATACTGAACTCCCTATTTTAAATTGCATTTACTCACTCCCCCGGCCCCGTCCTGCTCAGTTTTTTCCCTGGCACTTAGCCCCTTTAACATACTACTTTCTGTATTATTTTCACTCGGCCCCCACGTGAACACGAGCCCCAGGAGAGCAGGGATTTTTTGTCCGTTTCCTTCACCGATGCCTTAGTGTCCATATAAGCGCCTCACACGCAGGGTAGGCGCTCAGTAAATATTGGATTTGAATGTCTTCTCACTGAATTTTATAACTTTCAATTTGGGTCCCTTATTTACTTTGACAGCATGATTTTGGAAACCATCACCTGCTTTCCGCCTGCACCTTTCAGTGTGGCCCATCACCCACAGACCATGCCACCAGCCCCCACCAGGGAGAACTCCAGGCACCCTGCCCAGTTCAATTACTTTGGCAATTTTCTTCGCCTCTCTGGGCCTTGGTTGGATCATCATGGGGGAGGATTAACCAGTAAGCAAGGTACGCACGGGCTTAATTGTGTTTATGAACTAATGCCTAGTGCACAGTTTCACTAAACCCATGTGAAATTGTGCCCTACAGATTAGTACATAAACACAGTTAAGCCTGTGCGTACCTTGCTTGTTGGTAATCTGTCCCTGATCATCTATACATGGGGATAAGAACCATCTCTATTCTATAAAACCAGTGTGAAGATTAAATGAGTTGTTGCAGTAAAGTGCTACTAATTTGTGCCTGGTCAACAGCTAATCAGGATTGGCTACTATGATTACTTTTACATCCAAGTGCTGACCCTTTCACCTCAGTCCCACTCTGCTTGTCTCTTGCTCCCTTGCTGGGTTATTCTCCCTCTTCAACCCTTTGTCTCACCTCCCACCTGTTAGCCCTCAGATCTGACAGTGATGAGGTCTCTCCGCTCCAGCTCTCCTCTGTTCTCCGGAACGTTTGTTTACAAACACTTGTCCTCAAGTCCAAACTACTTTCAGATGCTTTCGGCCTAACTTGTGCTGTACTGAAACCTTCAAGTTTTAACAACACAATTCTAAGAAAAATTCCACGGGAAATAAGCAGAAAAAATGTCTCACAGATTATCTCATTTAGCCTTAACCCAGATCTATTTTAATGCTATCGTTTATCACCAATAAATTATTTCATTTAATTTTAAGGCTTTTTTTTTTTTTTGCGTGCCCTCCTTAATGTCTCGTTCTCGTACTATAGTGTTGCTATGCGCTGGAATCAGCTCGCCGGCAACAGGTTTAGTTTTGGGATTTTTATACTATTTTAAAGAGCAAATGATTTCTGACTTTTTAAAATAATTTTGCCTTGAAACTGCTGCTGAGGCTAGGAATTTCTGATACGTATATGCCCTCTGAGGTTCATGTTAAGGCCTGAGGAGAGGAAAATATCCTATTGTCTGCAAGGCTATGCCCTCTGAATTCGGGCTGTGCAGTCTGCTCTTCCTCATGCCCCAGTCTCAGGGGAAGCCGGCTGCCAGAGAGCTTGGCTAAAGGTGGGGGGTAAAAGGTCCAAAGGATAGAATTTCAGGCTCCCAAAATAACCCCTGAGTACTCCTGCCACCTCCAAATCAAGCCCTGCACGCTTCTTCACTCTGGCAGAGTGCCACCCTCTGCCTGGATCCCGGGAGGCCTTGATGAGCCATGGATGCCCCTCCATCTCCACAGGACAGCCCCCTAGAGCAAGCTGGGGAGCCCACAGAATTAAAGGCAGACATGCAGGAGGGCATTTTCTTTCTTAACCTTTATCATTCTCATTTCTTTATCTCCTCCCTGTCTTCTCCCTTTTTCTCCTCCACCTGTTCTCTGGGGGCCCCCAGAGAGTGTTTTCCAAAACCCAGTAATTTGTGTACCACTGTCATAATTATTTTATACTCATATCCAAATTCCTCCTGTACTATTTCTTTAAATTGTCTTTTTCACTTAAATTTTAAAAGGCTGTTAGTGTATAGAACTGCTTTAAATTTAAAAGCAGTTCCACTTGCCGTAAGTACAAACCAGTTGCCGTTGAGTCAATCCCGACTCCAGGCGACCCCATGTGTGTCAGAGCAAAACTGCGCTGCAAGGAGTTCTCAGTGGCTAATTTTCTGGAAGTAGACTGCCAGGTGTTTCTTCTGAGGCACCTCTGGATAGACTTGAACAGCCAATCTTGCAGTTGGAAGCTGAGCACTGTTAACTGTTAGCATCCCCCAGGGACTCCTGTGATTAAATAGGCTACCACGTAAATACAATGGAAATAAAAATATATAGTAATTGAATTTTAGCTGGATATGGCTGTTTTCTACAGAGCCTGTGCTTGAGACCAGCTCTGTTAAAGAATGGTGGAGAGTGTTGGACATAACCAGCATCAACATGAGACTTGCTCCAAGAAATGAGCCACGGGAAGAGGGCTGAGAAGACAACTTTCTCACTTAGTTTTTAACGCCATGTCTACGTATTACGGAACGCTTCCCGCTTTGGGAAGCACGGCTTTGAGTTTTTGACTCACAAAAGATAAATACGTTTGTTGAAATTTGATAGGCCTCATCCCCTTCCTTTAAAGCATCGAATACGTTGTTTGCTAAGTATACTCCAAAACTTTTTTGTATATAGTTCTTCACTATTTGTCCACCGCTTTTGACCAAGCACCGCAGTGTTTTGGATACAGACTCCCCTCTGCGTATCACAGAATATGGCCGGTGATGGGACTTTGTGTATCATCTAGCCCAAATTTTGGCCCAACTCCATGTTCCGAAAAGAAACTTGAAGTTCGGAACCGAGGGCGATTTGCCCAAGGTCACACAGAGGGCGATCTAACGTTTGGGTTCGTGAAGCCCAAAGCACCAGCTTTCCCGTCCCTGCTCAGGAGGCTTCGTGAAGGGTGACCCAGCTGACGCCAAGCCAGACTTCTCGCCTCCTCTGTTGAGATCTCCGTTGTCATGGCAGCGGCGCATTGTTCCCGCCTCCTCTAGGTGACGTCGGGGGCCACCGCCCAATAGGAGGACGGCTCAGCGCCGCGCACCGCCTTTTCCGACAGGCACCGTCCAAGCGGCTGAGAGAAGCGTTGAGGGTGCGGGGGAGGCGGGGTCGGCTCGGCCGCGGCGAGTTACATCGATTCCAGTCCGCCCGCCTCCGCGGCCACCCAGGGAACCCCGCAATGTTCGGGATGCCGAGCAGCAGCTTTGAGGAAGACCCCTTCTTCTCGTGAGTGTCGAGGCTGGCGGGAATCCGGGGATCCCGTGGGAGCGATTTTAGGGGAAAAGGAGGTTTAGAGGCGAGAGAGGATGCGGGGTGACTAAAGGACGCGGCTTGAGGGAGAGGAGAGGACGATTTGGAGGCGTGTAAGGGAGGAGAAAAGGAGATTTAGGGATGAGTGAGGTGGGGACAGGGACGGATTACCCAGTAAGCACGGGCTTCATCCTGCTTACCTCTTAATTGGGAGTGCACAATTTCACTTGTTTTTCACCACATCAAAGATCGAAGATTTGTGCGTAAACCCCATGAAGCCCGTGCGCATCTTGCTTACTGGGTACCCTCCCCTGCGTGAGGAGAGGACGTCTCGGGG